AAGTTTTTAAGTGACTATGCTTTAAAAGAGCAATAGATTCCTGAAATGATGTTCACACCTGAGGGGCTGAGGACAGAAACAAACCCTTTTCTTTTTAAATTTGGAATGTTAAAAAACTTAACAAGCACGTATGATGGTGCATACCTATTGTCTTAGTTACTTCTCTCTCACTGCTGAGATAAAATACCCAACACCCAAAGTTAAAGGGGGAAAGGTTTATCTAGCTTACAGTTAGTAGAGGTTTCAGTCCATAATCAGCTGGCTCCAAGGTAGGGCAGCACATGCCAGACAGACAACAATTCATGGGGGCAGAAGACAGCAAAAACAATGGGAAAAAGCAAGAGGGGGAGATAAGCCTCTTTCTCCCCATTTTATCCAGACTGCTCAGGTTAGGGTGGTGCCAATTCAATCAGTGGACTGACCCAGCAATCACCCACCCTTAATCCCAGCATCACACTACAAATCAATCACAAACCCTAGATTCAGGTACCTCCAAAAACAAAACAACAAAAAAACTAAAAGTGCATGAGGGTTTAGGCGGACATCTAGACACAAACCATAACACCTATAATCCCAGCACTGAGGCTAAGAAGGAGATCATGAGTTCCAGGGCAGCCTGGATCACACAGCAAGCTGAAGACTAGCCTGGACTATATAGCAAGACCCTATTTCAAAAACCCAAAACCAAAAATTTAATGATATTTAATATAAACAGTATAGATTACATACAAAAATATTGTATGTAATCCCAGCACTTGGGAGGTTGAGGCAGGATTGCTGAATTTGAGGCCAACCTGAACTATAGAGCAAGACCCTGTCTCAAAAAGCTAAAAAACACCCCAGAAAAATGAAAAAAGAAAAATAATATTATATGCTAATAGATGAATAAACACTCTATTTTAGTCTCTGAATAAACTAGCACATGCCATAAAACTACCTAGTACCTAACACAAAATGTAGCACAAATTAATAAATTGTTTTGATAATTCCTAAATAATTTGTACTTCAAAATTGTTAGGTGATCATTTGATGTGGCTCTCACTCATCAAATGAGGGTTCTTTGCTGGATGTGGTAGTACATGCCTATAAATCCCACACTGGGAAGCTGAGGCAGGAAGATCAAAAGTTTGAGCCTTTTCTGGGCAACTTAGTGACTTAGCAAATCTGTGCCAATAAATCAATAGGGCTGGGGATGTAGCTCAGTGTGAAGGTGCTGGGTTCAATTCCGTTTACTACAATCAAGGCTCTTTCTGAGAAGGCTAGGGATGTAACTCAGTAATCAAGCATGTACCTAACATGCATGAAGCCCTGCACCACCTCCAACAAAAACAGACTGCCTCAAATTCTTTTTATGACTTTACTAAACTTACTAATGAAGTGGCTTATATTCTTAATATACACAGAATGTCTTAATATTAACAACTGTTCATGGTTCTGAATCTTCTCAACCTTTGTAACACTGTCAGATATTTACATATTTAATTAGTAATTGTGTTGCTAGGGATTGAACACAGAGCCTCACATATTAGGCAAGTGCTTTACCAAGTCCCAAGAGATACTTCATCCCAAGTCCCAGAGAGACTTCATTCAACATCTTTATTATAATTAGAATGTGTTTTAATTATTTGGTATGTGTGGACGGGGGTGTGGGGTGCATACTGGAGACTAAACCCAGAGCCTTGGCACTGAACTACATCACTAGTCCTTTTTTATTTTTTGAGACAGCATCTTGCTGAGTCACCAAGTCTGGGCTCAAACTTGTGTTCCTCTTGCCTCAGCCTTCCAGGAATGCACTACCATGCCTGCCTAACAGTTGGCACTGTTTTTAAAGTTTTTATTCATCTATAATCCAGAGGGCTTCTAAAACATTTGGATAATCTAAATGGAAAGGTTTAAAAATTCTTTCTCTTACTTCTATTTCAATATTTCCTTTAGTTTTATGTGTTTAGTCACCTCAACTCAGCAGTTCTCAAACTTTTTGGTTTCAAAGACTCAGAAAAAAATTTTTTGGTGGTACTGGGGTTTGAACCTAGTCTTGCACATGCTAGGGAAGTGCTCTACCACTGAGCTATGTGCCCAGCCCCAAACTAAGAAATTCTTAAAATACTCTTAGTTTATTAAAAGATACAATGCTTTCCAACCGGCTCTGCCTCTTGGGTTGACATGAGGTTAGCAGCTTTCCTCTGCCACACCTTTCTGCCATGATGTTTCTGCCTTGGAGCTGAACCTCTGAAACTGTCAGCCAAAATAAACTTCTCCTTTAAATTGTGTACATCAGAAAACTGAAGAATGCAAAAAAATAAAACTGAAGCAGATGTGGGATGGTATACACAGAAAAATAGCTTCTTGGGTGTGTGTGGGGGGTATATCCTGGAAACAAATTAGAGTTGCTGAGAAAAATACAGCGGGGGAAACTCCTTGGTGCCAGAGAAGCTGAAAATTTGCAAAAGCCTGTTGTTAGTCTTAAAAATGAAGGGGAAAATGAAATGACCCTCTCTCAGTATAAAGTGCAGTGAGGACACTATTAGAGATAAGGCTCTCGGGCATGGTGGCACACACCTGTAATCTTAGCACTCAGGAGGCTGAGGCAGGAGGATCATTCCAAGTTCCAGGCCAGCCTGGGCTACAAAGTGAGCTCAAGGCCAGCCTGAACTGCATAGTGAGACCTTGTCTCAAAAAAAAAAAAAAAAAAAAAAGTTCACTATTAATTAATGCAAAAGATATTTAATAATCTATGTAACTTAGTGAGAAAATGGCATTTTTAAATGTTTTTGCAAATCTTTAATGTCTGACTCACTAAGACAGCTGGATTCTATTTTGCATTGTATTTTTATGACAGGCTGTTTCAGACTAATAAAAATTGGATTTCACAGACAGGTAATTGGAAAAGGAATGAGTTAACTGTAACTTATTCAGATATTGTGGCTATTCTGTGGTTAATAACCCAAAACTAGACAAGTCATTGTTTCTTTTTTTAAATTTTGAGGCAGGGCCTTGTTAAGTTGCTCGGCCTGGCCTCAAACTTAGCATACTCAGCCTCCCAAGTAGCTGGGAGTACACTACTGTGCCTGACAAGTAGTTATTTCTCAAAGGCTAGTTAGATCTAAGCCATACCAATGGACTTTTCATACTGTATTATATCAAAATATATTAGTGGACCTCGCACTTTGAAATGAACATTTACCTATATACATCATTTTGTACATCATGCATTGGTCATTTATTTGGAAGATATTACTTCCTTTGGTTATGCAGATCTTCCAAATGTTGACACATTTTATTATACATTTTTAAAAAAATTACATTTGTTAACCACCTCAGCAGAAATACCTTTTAAGTCTTACAGAGCTATCAACCTCATAGTGAAGACCAGCTTTCCAATATAATAAATTTTGCCTGAAAGCTCAAATTTTATCCTTGTAATGTCAGTGTTTTCCTTGACACTAATAGGCTCAATTCATTAATTTTCAAGAAAATGTCTATAAAACAATCATGCTTCAGTATGCAGGAGTGCTTTATAAAAACTTCCTGCTTTGTCATATATTAAAAAAACATGTACTCTCACAAAACTAGTAATTGTTACTAGTGCAGCAAGGATATTCTTACGGGAAACTTGGTTTTTTTTTTGGCAAGTACACGGTGCTGAAAAATACAACAATGACTGGTTAGAATTTAGTGTCACAGTCCAGATTTCCACTAAGCTGTCAAGTTTCACTGAAAACTGCTGTTGCATAATTAATGCAAACATTTAGTGATTCTAAAAAAATCCACATTTTAGTAGTACTATAAAAATAGTTTTGGCCTCACAGACCTCCACAGAATCTCAAGGAAACTTGGGTATCTATCAATGATACTTTGTGAATTGCTGGACTAGCATAAAAGAAGGACATCTCAGCATCTTCCTACTGGTAGGAATCGACTGTATGCTTTTCAGCCCCCAAGGTATGGGAAGGCTTAGTTTACAGCCTGGGCAGGAGAGCCCAATGTTAGCTTTCAGCTGCTGTAACAAATACATGAGAAAATCATCTTTAGAGAAAAGATTTATTTTGGCTTGTGGTTTCAGAGATTTCAGTCCATGATCAGCTGGCTCCTTTACTTAGGCCTTAAGGTAAGGCAGAAACATCACAGCAGAAGAGGGTATGACAGAGGAAAACTGCTCATCTCATGGAAGCCAGAAAGCAGAGAGTATGAGAGAAGGACCAAGAGAAAGCGGCTAAGGACAAGATACACCCTTCCAAAGGTACACACCCCCAGCAACCTTTCTTCCAATGGGACCCTACTTCTTAATAGTTCATTCAGCTAAGAATTTGTCAATGGATTAGTCCATTGATGAGGTTAGCACCCTCATGATCCAATCACCTCTTTAGGCACCACCCCTGAACACTGCTGCACAGGAGATTAAACCCTCAATACATGAGTCTTTGAGGGACGCTTCATATTTAAACCCGAAACAGCCCCCAAATCAACTCTTGATATTCTATGTTGCAAGGAATAGGCAAACTCAGCCAGACTGAGCATCAGGGAAAGGGTCAAGATGAGAAGGCAGATGAGAAGGGATGACTAGGATTTCTTCAGGCAGTGTGTGGGGAGGACATTTCAAACTATAATGCTTAAGCAAAGGCAGCAGCTCTGAGAACAAGAGAGCTGGAGACATGCAGTTTACCAGTGAGGAGACCAAGTCTAAAGATCTCAAATGCTCAAAAAGAATTTGGACTTAATTCATCAGATAACAAGGAGTTCATCATGTATACAGGTAAGCAAATCCCTATTTCCTAACGAAAAACATTTTTTCTGAACAAGGCATGGTGCCATGTACCTATAGTCCTTGCGTTTGGGAAACTGAGGCAGGAAGACTGCTTGAGCCCAGAAATTCAAGACCAGTCTGGGGAACATAGCCAGACCACGTTTCAGAAGGAAAAAAAATGTGTATTTTTGCTTTTAAATTAAGGTATGAATCTGAGTATTTAAACTTTTGAGAATGTTGATCAAATAGTCAGATATCTATTTATAATATCTAATTTATTTAGTCACACATGCTTATTTAAAATAACAGTATATACAATACATTAATACAAAATATTGCTTTTTTTCCCATTTGCACATTTCAAGAAACAATTTTATTCAAATTCTCCACAAGCATCTTGTGTATCAATATCTTCATGGTATCTCCAGCCAGACTTTCTTAAGTGTATCTCCTTCATCTACATCTAGTTGAGAGGCAGCACTTTTTGGCAATGCATTTGGGATCAAATGCAGAGCCTTACACATGCTAGGCAAGCACTATACCACTAAACTATACCCACAACCTGAAATGCAGCACTTTGAAAATACACAGTCGACATTCTCACTGGGAAGCTTGATCCCAACTGTCACATTAGGACCATCTTCCTTCAGCCCCAGTTCATCATGTAGGTATGTTTCTAATCCTTACAACCAAACTGTGTGTTTATTGCTTCTGAAATTGCTCTTTGAAAGGCTAGTTTACAAAACCTTACTCTTGAAGTATGAGGGAATATCTTGCTAGAATAATGACTATGTTTCTTCCTTCACCTTCTCTTAACTCATTCCAACAGAAGAAACTATAACCATTAAAAAATCTGCCTTGTTAGAGGATGGTAAATTAAAATGTGTGAGGAGCAGCCAGAGGCAGAACAGTTGCAAGAAATAACAATCAACCAGTTATGGGGGTGACTGAGGAGTAAAATAGCAAGAGAACAAAGTTGGAGGCTACGTTTTGGGCAGATCATCATGGACAGACAGCAATGTTTCCTGGGGTGGGAATGGAGTGAAGAAAGCTCACGGGAAGGGACAGCCTCCCTAGGAAACAAGGTTTGAATGAGAATGTGGACAAAGATCCTACCCAGGAGCTTGTGAACAATGCTGACATGCAGTCCTTGTCTAGTTGGGGGGTTAGAGACTCCTATGTGTGTCAGGCCTGGAAAGAAATGGTATTCTGAGGAAAAAAGAAATGTGCAGAACGAGCATGTCCTGGAAGACAGAGATGGCCAGAAATGGGGAGGGGGAAATCTCCCTGAATTACCCCCAACAGGTTTCCTTCTTTCACACTACTCATCACAGTGAATTGTCGTTATACTTTCAAGACTTCAAAGTAGGCAGTGTGTCTGCCCTGGACATTACTGTATTCCCTAGCTGCTAGGACAGGTATGTAACAAGCCTGGGCAAACAGGTGCAGGAGGAAGGACCCCAGAACAAGATGAAGGAAAAGAAAAGGAGACTGCATTAACAGCATCCTATGGGAGGGACCTGGAAAGGTGAACAGCGAAGGAGAAAGAGGTCAAGAAAGGCCTGGTCAGAATCTCAGAGAGCAAACGGCATTACGGAGCTGGGAGAAAAAACAGAAGGAAATAGACCGGACAGGATTTATGCAAAAGGTTCCATGGAGACCTTAGGTGTCATCCCAGAAGCCTCAGCCCAGGAAAAATGTCACGCGCCCTGTCTCCAGCAAAGGCTGGGAAAATAACAAGTAATGATGACTATAGCATCAACATCATCTTCTGGGAATTCATTAAAAGTGTAAATTCTGATGCCACCCCAGATTTACTAAATCAGGAGCTCTGATTTATTAAGTCTTTCAAGAGATCCAAATGTGTATGAAATTTAAAGGACTACTGGTTTAAAGTAACAGATGCAATGTTTTCCATTTTAAAGCCACAACTCCCTAATTTTTTCTTAAGCCTCTGACATCTGCTGTACTAGTCTGTGGTAAATACTGACGAGTGGCAAAATGAAAAAAGGAGGTGCAAACAACTATTTGCAGTCTGACAAAATAGGGAGTAAGTGGTAGCCATGCTGCTTGGGTTTGATCCTTAGCTATGAGATCCTAGAGAAATTTCTTTACCTGGTAAACCTCAGCATCCTCATTTATAAGAAAGGAAAAAACAAGCACTTAACCTTGTAAGATTGTTATAAGGACCAGATGAGACAGTACCTAGCACATGGTAAATACTCAATTATGCTGGTTATTATTATCATCATTAAAGTAGAACTCACAAGAAGCCCATCACTTCATGGAATTAGCTTAAAACCTAGCTATTTTTCTAGGGCCATGATTTTATATCGCATGCACAAAATAACCTTATATTAGCTCTCTTGCTCTAAAATTAACATGCACCATAGCTCTGAGGAGGCCTAAGACTGATTTTGTGGTTTTTTCTATGACTTGTCTTATTCAGAGAGAGACTAGCCTTGATGGTCTGACACCAAGATATTGACACCTTGATCAACACCTAAGTGTCAAAACCTCTAGTTTTATACCAAGTAAATGCAGCAACACATCAACTGGTCCTCGTGGCAGATTGAGGCTGGGAGGGCGAAGGAGGGTAACACCTCTTCAGTTCCTCTGTCCCATCCTCTCCAACCTACAGTTCCCCTTCTTAGCTCAGCAGGAGTGATAGGGAATAGCGGTGAGAGGGTTATATCATGGGCTTGAAAGGCCATCCTGAATCAAAAATACCAGAACATATTTTATTATTACTTTATTTTTTAGTGCTATTCAACTCAGAGCCTAAGGGCACATCCTAAACATGTGCCCTCCCACAGAGTGCATTTCCAGCCCACCACATATTTTATTTTATTTTTTTCCACCACATATTTTAGATAAAATTTCTCATTTCCAACTTCTCAGCAGCTCTAAGAGGCCTGGAAGTCTTACTTCTTCCTGTAAGTATACTATAAACAGTACTTGACACAGGTGAACATTTATCAAACCAACAGTTCTGTAATTAAAGGAATAATGACTACTCCCTGGTAAGAGAAAAAAAGTAAAATCTGGGTGGGCCTATTAGGGCATTGGTGAAGTTCTGAGCTTCAACCCACCACTTGGAGCTATGCTTAGTCTGAAAGGCCAAGTCCTGGCCAGGTATTTCTTTCAGTTAGAGCCTGCTGTACGACATGTGGGGTTCCTACTATGATACAGGCAGAGAACAGCTTAGGGTCATTTAGGGCTGAGCCTAAGGGCACATTTAAGACAGAGGACTTAGAAACCCAAAGCTGGGGGAAATGTCACAATTGGCAAAATCTTTATCTCTCTCAATTACTCCTTGCCAAATCCCAGTTCCTTTCTAGGTTCTCTGCCCACCTACCATAGATAGACTGGGCCAACAGGACCCACCCATTCCAGCCTGGGTTCATACCCTGCACTCAAGGGACACCTAAGGGCCCAGTCCCACAGATGCCTCAATGGTGCCAGGGGGTTGTGGATGTACCACCCCCCTTAAGCAAGAGGCTCACTGATTCCAGGTAGTTGTGTGGCATTCTGACTGCACCAGAGGCAGGCAGTTCGAAAGCAACAAACTGAAGAAATATTTGTTTACATAAAATCACCCCGGTAAGAGTATTTGCTTTTCTCTGTGCCAGGTAAGCAAACAGCAGAAACCCTCCCTGAATATGAATGTTCTCAGGGTCTCTGCTCACACCAGTCCCCTCCAATGCCCTTCCCGGGCATTTCCACCTGTCCAGAATCCACAGTGTCCTTTCCCCTACTCTGAGACATTCCAGTCTTGCTCAAGTAGAGAGAGGCTTCTTCAATGCCCACCTGAAAGCGACTCAAAGGATAACTGTTAGTGTGAGTACCCTGCAATCCCACTGCCAAGTCTGTAATCTTGAAGAATTTAATGAGGTTTACTCCGTATTTTGTGACTTCAGCCAAAGGCTAGAGATCTGGCTTAGTATATAGAAGTGGTCAGCATTTACAGATTTTATAATAGTTATGCCCTCCTCCCATTTTAAACTTTGGTTACTCAATAACTGAAACTCTATTTCTGGGATTATTATACGGCTAAGAGAGTGGGAATCATGCTTATCCTTCAGTAGGATGGAGGAAGCATGAAAAGGACCTGAGTAATTAAAGGGTCTTCTCTCCCTTCTCCTATCCCATATTGGAAATTGACCCAAGAAACCCTGAGCTACATCCCCAGCCCTTTTTGTATTTTTCAATTTTGAGACAGAGTCTTAAAAAGTTCCCTAGGCTGACCCTGAACTGTCCCCCAACTTCAGTCTCCTGAATACCTCAGGGGTGTGTCTTTTACTTCCATTAGGGTACGATTCCCTTTTGAGGGAACACACAAAATAACCAAGAGGGTTTACCAGTGAAAATTTCTTCTCTACAATTCAGCAGTACTTTGCACATGTATTGAGCACATATAATCATTAGGAATTATAGTAGTATGGCAGCTCATTAGTCAAGGTCTTTTGGGTTGCATGTAATAAAAATTAACTTCAGGCTGATTTTTAAAAATCAAGATTCATTCTATGAATACCTAAAGAATGAGCACAAGCTAAGGCAAACGTGCAGAACTGGACCCAGAGACCTGAGTGATGAGTGCAGGCCAGGGCAAAGATGCAGGATTAGATGCCAAGACCATGGGAGTCCTCAGGGTTACCACAGCAGCTGCTCGCTCATGCTTGTCCACAGTGTCAGCTCCTGCCTCTATGGGTGCCCTATCCAGGTCATCAACCTAGACCATGACTGGCAGCTTTCAGCCACATGCAAAATTCTTAAGATAAAGAACTGCCTCAAGGGCTGGGGATTTAGCTCAGCGGCAAAGCGCCTGCCTGGCAAGCGCAAGGTCGTGAGTTTGGTTCCCGGTACCGGAGAAAAAACAAACAAACAAAAAAAAGAACTGCCTCAAGCCTTTTCACACCAGTACTCTGCTCCAATCAACTGCAAGGTAGGGGAGATGGCAAGAGAGAAAAGGTCGCTGTACATAAATATGGCCCTCACTCTGTAGGAGTGTGTGAGGTGAATAAATTTTGAGTCAGGCAGGTTTCCAAACTGTCTTAGAGAAATCAGGTACTTAGCTCTCGGTACTTATATAAAATAACAGTGAAGTTTTTTAATTTCCTCAATTCAGAATGACATTCCCCTCCAAATTTCTATTGAACTAGTCAAAGCTCTAGTATTATAAATGACTTAAATTTCACAAAGCTCTGCTGAATACCGAAACCCAAATAGAAAAAGTTATAAAAATTTGCTCCCTGTTTTATTGTTCATAACTGGATTTGATTGACATTTGCTTTATACTCATCAAATCTTACAGGAGTGAAGACACACCGAGTTACAAAAGGTAGCACTTTCTCACTAATATTTTACTTTTTAAACAGTTTAGATTGATGTCAATGGCATAAGAATGGAGAGTGTTCAAATAATGCCTTGACCTTATAAAAAACTCGCAAGAGGATTACATTTTGTGGGTACACTGCATGGCACCTGGAACACAAGTGAGTGCTAGATGTTAGATGGATCCAATTCCAATTTTCAAATGAACACAAGGATCTAATTTAGATCATATATTAAATCTAACTAATAATTTCAGGCTACTCTGCTTTTATCTCTCATAGCAAGTTACAGCAGATCAGGTCTCAAACCTGCTATTTTTCTCTTTGTAAGATTACAACTATTGGTCTCTGTAACTCAGAATCACAAAATGTATACTAAGAAATGACTAGAAATTATTTCTATGGAAACCACTAGTTTTTAGCCTAGAGTCTTACAGAAATTGTTATTTCAAAACATGCAGAGGCAGGAAGAATCACTAAAACCACATTTTATTCTATGACCTCTATATTGCTTTTCTCCTGTTTAAAGTTTGAAGCAATGTGAAATGGATGGAAATATTTTGTTAAAAGAACAAAAAAGAACAAAATGAGTTAATCATACACACTACATATATACGCACATATGCATATATATGTACAAATATATTTTAAACCTCAGTTCTATGTCTACGCTGTTAACACAAGACTAAGTCCAATAGTGGCTCATGTTCCGGGTATGGATATAGTAGGAAGGATCAATATATAAAGAGCCATCAATGCCCTGAAAGCAGAAAGTTGACACAATTTTAAATATAATTTATATATATATATATTTAAAATCAAACACAATTAAATAGAATATGGTTTAAGTACATGAATACTTCAGCTTTAGAAGAATAACAGAAGTGGTACACAGTACCAAAAACTTATACACAGCCTTTTTGCTTCTCTTCAAACAGTGTGCCTCTACACAACTGGATTGCAATGGAATAAATTCTCTATTCATTCAAGATTTTCTCAAGGACAGAGGTGATTAATAATTATATATATATATATATATATATATATATTTTTTTTTTTTTTTTTTCAAAGTCTGAGCAAAAGCAGTAACCCCTAATAGGACTTTCTTTCTCCTCAGTCACATGCATCAAGGAAGGACTGGAGCAGCACGGCCAGTGGAGTGTGCTCACCAAGCTGGTGGCCCTGTGGATGGCTGTGCAGACCCAACATACAACTGACTGAGCAGAAGTGCAGCAAGCAAGTCTCTTACTGTCCTGAAGACAGAAAGAAAAAAAAGCCAGCCACCAACTGCACACCACCCACTCACACCAAAGAACAGAGAAGGCAGGCAAACAAAGTTTGAGTCTTCTCCCCATCTTATTGAGTGAAAAAAAAAATCTCAGAATAACCATTTTGTTCATGGTACTACAAGTAAAAAACTGGAGTGGTCTTTACATTTTCATTCTTCCCACATGTATTCTAAAGGGGAAGTTTAGTAACTGGAGCACAGAATTCCAGAAAAACAAATCTTAGTGTTCAACGTAAACTAGATTCACTCTTTTGTTAGCAGGGGAGAGACTGGTTTTATGGATAGTGATTCTCAGGAGCAAGTAAAATGTGAAAATTGTATGCTGCCACCAAAAGGGCCATGTCACTGAGGACTGACCACTGACTTGTTGGCTTCCTTCTAACTAATGCTTCTGTGAAGGAAAACTACATAAGGAACCCTCACCCTGTTCTATAAGCTTCTAGCCCCACACTGTTACTTGCAGCTGCCTGGCTCTTAATGGGGCTACTCACATGTTAGTTTTAGGAGAATAAAGCAAAGCACCTCTGCCACATGCTGTATGATGCTGCTAGGGATGGATTCCCACTACAAAAATGTGTATCAAATATCAACTCCACATTTATCTGCCTCACACGGGATGTGGTCCCTATCTATCCAGTGGACTAACTCTCTCACAAATGAGTTATTGCCATTGGAAAACTAATAATTTTCTAGTAATGTAAACAATACCATTTTGTTTCTTTGTGACTCACTGTGTGAACATCATGTGCATCATTTATGTCTACATGTTACTCTGCATTATGGTCTAGGACTGTCTCCCATTCTTTCTTGGGAACAGTGATGCATCAGTGAAAGAAATACAGTGCTCTGTTTTCGCTGGCTGTGTTGAAGAATCCAACCAAAGGGCAAAGTTCTCTTATTTCTCAAAAGAAGACTTCCTTTTTCTCAGCACTTGAATCATAGCTGGAAAAAAAAAAAGAAAGATAAAGACAAAGAGAAAGGCAAGATACACTGCTATAACAAGTGACATATTATCGCCACAGATTAAGAAAGGTAATCGACACTTACTCAGTGCTTACTATATGCCAAAGCTTTTGATAGTCAGAAGCTGACTGCGATCTTAGGAGTAAAATATTGTACTTATCCTCATTTACATATGAGTGAACAGAAGCTTAAAAAGGATAAGTACTTGCTTTTTATCTCTCTTTTGGTAATACATATTAGAATGAAAAATATTCCTACTTTCTGAAAAGAATAATTCTTCTAAAAATTAACCAACCCAATGGCACATTCATAAGAGAGGGTAAGGATACACAGACATCCATGAAAACACTGCTTGTGACAGGAAAAAAACTCGAACATCCTAAATGATCATCCAAAGGGATTAAGTAAATAATTACAAAACCATAACATGGGATACTCCAGTTTTTACAAAGGAAAAAAGAACTTGAATCAGTTAGGCTCCCCACACTAAGCTCATGAAGCTAAGTCCCTCCCTTTATTCCAACTGGGGGAAAACAAACATTGCAGAAGACAGACTGCTATTTGTGAGCTGGGACATGTTCATGAAACAAGTCCGTAAGGATATGAGCTAGTTTCCACTGAATGTCTAAGTATATTCTGCAGGCAAGTGTAAGTGAAGGTTTAAGGCAGAGATATACCAACACGAGCTAAATAGACCAAGTGATCCTGAGTGGGCCTACGACTGCTCATTCATAAAGTCATGGAATAAAAATTAGAATGAGAATCATTCCAGGTTTCCTCATCCAATTTCTCTGATCTACTGATGAGGAAACTAGGGACCTGAGAAAGAAAGTCACTCACAAAAGGTCACAGATATTACCTACAAATGGACTCAAGGGTTGGGGGTGTAGTTGAGGCCCAGTGGTAAAACACTTACTTAGCTAGCACTGACAAAGCCATGGTTCAATCTCTAGCACTAAAAGATAGACAGATAGACAGACAGACACATAAATAAATAATAAAAACAGACTCAGATAGTTTTATTAGTGTTTTTTGGTATCAATATACCACTGACCCTTGAGGGACAGACAAGATAGATGCCCGAACAAGCCGACAGGCCTAGCATGCTTAAAAGCCAAAATATAACAATGTATCTGTATATCCTAAAAATAAAGGCACACGGTAATAAAATCTGAACATACAACTCAAAATGAAAAGTCTGAATTGTAAACATCTGCTTTTCTTTTTCTTTTTTTTTTTAGAGAGTAGGCAGAATTTATTGAGAGACAGAAGGGGGTCCAGAAAGTGGGTTGCCCATGAGCAAAACCATGAGGTGAGGCAGGTTTAAGGCAGAACAGAATTATAATCAATCAATAAGATAACAAGTATAATCACGGCTGGAGACAGAGCTCAGTGGCACAAGCACCTGCCTGGCAAGCGCAAGGTCCTGAGTTCAATTCCCAGTACCAAAAAAAAAAAAAAAAAAAAAAAAAACCAAAGTAAGTATAGTGGCTCAGGTAATACTGATCCAATGGCAAATCACAGGATGAGTATGTGGTAGGACAAAACTATGGTCAACCAGTAAGTATACAACAAGTATAGTTGCTTGGGTAGTATTAAGTGGGGATCAAATGGGGAAACAAATCACACAGCAAGCACACATGGGACAGACAAGGTCTTTCCTGGAAGGAAGCGGTCCTCCACCCCAAGGTGCTTGATGCCTACTTAGAATATTCACTACTGTTCATCCCTAGGGCAAGTATATAGGTGAATAGTTCCTCTTTTTCTTAAAGTCTGGCCTTCAGTGAATGTGCCTGCACTCACCACTGTTTTCTGCACTGACCTTCTGTGGGCTCAACTTTATCTGATTGCCTATAATATTTCTACCTAACTTAGCTATCTGTAATATACCCCCCCACCTCTGAAAAGTACCCCTATCTGCCATGAGGCGGCAAGATAAACATCTGCTTTTGAAAAACAGTTTCTAAAGAATATTTTCTTCTGTCAAACATTTGAGTATCAATGTGATAATGAAGAATCACAAAAATAACTACCCTTGCACCTCTTTACACACCTTTAGCTTGCTCTCTTTACTATTTTAGGTTTGATGGATCCAGAAGATAAATATAGACAAAAATTATCACCTTCATACAGAAAAGAGAAAATAAAGTATGCAAAAATGAACAAAGCTTTGGTATAAATTAGCTCAGTGAAGTTAACCAAATCAAGCTCTGGTAATGACAGTTCTCAGAGAAAAAACATTGACTAGACAGTTAGCAGGGAAAGAAACTAAGCTAGACTTAGACCAGATTCAAGCTCTCCAAACTGCTGCAGGTTATATGGACATAATAGTACGCAATTTCTTGGAGTAGTGTGTGCACACGCACCCATGCACAGTTGAGTGGTAGAATACTCACCTGGCATGCTTAAGACCCTGGGTTTGAATGCCCAGCACCATGACAAACAAAAACAAAAAATTACTTACATATTCTTCTATGAGTCTTAATTTTTACTTAATATAAATGAGTAGTTTACTGCCTTAACAAAGAATATAAGCAGAAATTCTATCACATTAAGTCTTCATGAATCAACTCAGAGGAAGTAAAACTTCAAAGAGGTGGAAATATTTGGATTGAAGACTTGGGGGATGGGACTAAGTGACTGTTAACATTCAAAACCCGCTTAGTATGGCTGTCACGGACAAGACTAGAACCAGTTGGAAAAGTTACAGGGAAACAGAATATTAGATTTCAGGAAGTCAGAATTTCCTAACAACAGCAGCCATCTAACTTCCAGGACAACATAATGGATTGATATACTATTCAATTCACTCCTTAAATGAGTACTTTTTCTTTTTTTAAATAAACTCATATGAGTGGGGTGGGGGAGAAGTGGCAACAAAATTTCAAAATCTAGAAACAAATGGATGAATAGTAGATAATTTTTTTTTTTTTTTTCTGGTACCGGGAATTGAACTCATGGCGTCGTGCTTGCCAGGCAAGCGCTGTGCCACTGAGCTAAATCCCCAGCCCTGAATAGTAGATAATTTAACAGACTTAAAAAGCTCCATCCTAAAACTAGAGACAGCTGAGAAGCAACCTGGTTTATAACCCAGAACCTCTCGTATCCTAAGGAATTGATGGCAGCAGGGCTTCTGGTAAATGGATCTGGTGGTAGGTACAAACATGAGGACTTGTTAAAAGCCATGTTTAGATGCAATTAAATCTTTTCTTTTGCGTGTTGAGACAGGGTCTCATTCTGTAATTTGGGCTGGTCTCACTATGTACCCCAGCCTAGCCTCAAACTCATGGTGATCCTGCTGCCTCAGCCTCTCAAGTGCTGGGATTACAGGTGTGCCCAGCAAGTAGCAGTTAAATCTATAGTGATTATTCTACAACTAAGGTGGTTGGCCTTGTCTAAAACCCAAAACCAGCAGAAAAGTCAGAGATCTATGGGTAAAATAAAGCAAAGTGTCTCTGGGCTAAGATGCACTAAGCATACCTGAAGTTAAGGATGTCATACTTAAAACAGGGGGCTCAAGGAGGGGGTTAATTACAGAGCTTCCTCTAGCTTTGTCCTACTTGGGGCTAATACAGAGCTTCCTGTAGCTTTGTCCTACTTGGGGCTAGAAAACCAGTAACCTGGCCTTTATCTTGTATTGTAGGCAGGAGATCAGTACAGTTTTCTCTGGAGAATGTCTAAGAACTGAAAGGGGGAAAAAAATTAAGACATCAGATTTCCCAAAGAAATATCTGGCCAGTCTGTGTCTAACTATATACAAAAGTGCCAAACTGTTTTTCACAATGGCTGTTATCATTTTTCATTTCCACCAGTAATCAAATTGCTCCACAGCTTAGCCAATACATAGATTGGCAGTCTTTTACATATTACCCATTCTTTAAGCTATGTTGGAGAATATCACTGTAATTTGCATTACAGTAATTAAACATCTTTGCATGTGAGTATCTGCGTAGTGTTTGCTCGTATTCTTTTGCACATGAAAATAAAATCAAATTGCCACTCTTAGGACTCCATGGACTCAAAGTATTCTGGATATAATTCTTTTATCACAAAAACATTTTGCATATACCTTCTCCCATTTGTGATGTGCCTTTTCATTTTCTTAGCAGTAAGTTCAATATATCTTTTTTTTAATGGCTGGCTTATGCTGGGTGTGATCTAAGAAATCTTTGCCATAATCATAAAGATTTTCTTCTATAAGTATTATAACCTGAGCATTAAAAATAAAGTCTATGCTGGGCATGGTGGCACATGCCCATAATCCCAGCACTCAGGAGGCTGAGGCAGGAAGATCGTTGCGAGTTCGACACCAGCCTGGGCTACAAAGTGAGCTCAAGGCCAGACTGAACTGCATAGCAAGACCCTGTCTCAAAAACACAAAAATAAAAATCAAGTCTATGACCAACTGCAAGTTCATTTTGTATATGCTATAAGCAACCAAGGTTTACTTCTTATCTATAAACATATAACCAGTTGCTCCAGCACCATTTTTAGAAAAAGATGGTCTTTCCTTCATTGAATTATCTTGGTATACATATTTAAAGAAATCAGTTGACTACAGATGTGGATCTACTCTGACACTCTATTTTTTCTCCAACAATTTATACAGGTACACTTAGGCTAATACCACACTGCCTTGGTCATGTAGCTTTTTCCCCCATTAAACCTGGTAACTGCTATTAGATTTTACAAGGTTCAGGAGTTCTATTCCAAGTTTCCCAATAGTGTCTGCTACCAATGGTTGTTGAATTTTATAAGTAATGTTATATATTATTTTACAGGGTCTCACTATGCAGTTCAGGCTGGCCTTGAACTCACTTTGCATCCCAGGCTGGCCTTGAACTCACAATGATTCTCCTGCCTCTGCCTCCCAAGGGCTGGGATTATAGGCATGTGTAACCACACCCAGCTTGGTTGTTGAGTTTTATTCTTTTTCTGCATCTACAGATGATCATCTCTATCTATAATCATATTTTCTTTTTCAGTATGTTAATATGGTAAATTATAATAATTCATTTTTGAATGTTAAAGCCACCTTGCATTTCTGGAATAACTGTCACTTACAATGATGTAGTATTCTTTCTCTGTACTGCTGGATCAGTCCCCTTATATTCTGCTAAAAACTTTGGGTTCAATTTCCAGTACTGCCAAAAAACATCTTCACTAAGTTCAGGTTTTTTCTGGAATATTTTAAAGATGTTGGCTCAGCTGTCTTCAAAGCCAACAAGCCACTTAGATTTTAACACAACTATTGTTCTTATTTTAGCATGAAATTATTATTATTTTTTTTTAATTTTGTCAAGACAGTGTCTCACTATGTAGTATAGGCTGGTCTTGAACCCTTTTGTTGCCCAGGCTGGCCTTGAACTTGCAGTGATACTCTTGCCTCAGCCTCAGCCTTCCAAGGCTGAGGCAAGAGTATCACTCTAACATATGTTAGGCAAATGCTGCAATACTTAACTACTTTTCAATCTTTGTGTTTCTTTTCAAAAAAATTTTTATACAGTATTATGGTTTAAATATAAACTGTCTCCCATAGAATCAGGTACAAGGACTTGATCCCCATGCTAAAGAGATGACTGGATCTGAGGACTTTAACTTCATCAATGGATTAAGCCAGGAATAAGAAGGTTTTGATGGCATTATTAAAAAACGATGCAAAACGGAGGTGGAGCCTAGTTGCAGCGAGTAGATTATGAAGATACGACTTGAGGTTCAGTCTAATCCGAGACCCCTTCCTCGCTGGCTCTCATTCCCTCTCTGCTTCCTGGCTGACAGGAGGTAAGTAGCTTTCTTCCCCTATGCTCTTCTGCCATGAATGCTTCTGCCTCACCTCAGGCCTAAAGGCAATGGAGTCAGCTGACCATGCACTGAAATCTCTGAGACAATGAGCCAAAATGAGTCTTTCTTCTTTTAGGTTGACTTTACAGGTATTCTGTACAGCCACAGAAAGCTGACTAATACAGAGAAAGTACAGTCTGGCCTCAAACTTTCAATCCCTCTCTCTCAGCCTCCCAAGTAGCTGGGACTACAAGTGAGAACTACTGTACCTGACCCCATTTAAGTCTCCTAAAACAATTTTCTATTTCTCTCATGATATTCATGCATTCCTTAACATTCTTGAACATACCTACACACATATATACACTGTCCCCTCCTCTTCTTTTTTGGTAATACTGGGAATAGAACCCAGGGCCTCTGCATTGAGCTTCATTTCCTTTTTTAAATTTTGAGACAGGGTCTTGCTAGATCACAAAGCTGCCTGGCTGGACTTAAACTTGTGACGCTGCTGCCTCAGCCTCCCAGACTGCTGGGATTATAGGCATGTACCACTACACCCAACCATATCCCCCAACACACATTCCCAGGGGCTTGTGCATGCTAGGCAAGTGTTCTACCACTTAGCTATATCCCCAGGCCTTCTTGAATATATTTTAAAAAATAGCTCTTTTACAGTTTTTGTTAATTTTATCATCTCACTTCTCTTATTGCCTGTTTCTTCTATTGACTGAGTTTTCTTCAACTATTGCTCAGATTTTCTGCACACCTAATTTTTTATATTAGATGACAGAAATTGTAACTTTATAGAGTAATGAATTTGGTTGTATTCCTTTAGAGAGGGTTGGCCTTTGTTTTGACATACTTTTGTTACTTAGAGACCAGTCTAATCCTTTCAAAACTTTTTATTGGTTGAGGTGCTCTATTTTAGGGCTAATTTAGCTCCAACAAAAGGATGTAACCTTTCTGAAGACACTACTGAATGCTTTGTGTATTATTCTGGCAAAGAGGAACATGAACTATTCTTAGCCCCATGTTCCAAAAGTCATTCAGTGTTGGAAGTTTTTTCTGTGGACATGTGCAATATATATATTTGGCAAAGGACTCAAGAGAACCTCTCCAAATACTCCTACAGCTCTTCTTCTGAGCAGCTTCCTCTTTTCTGGCACCCTGTCCTATAATTTCTAGTTATACCAGGTTCTCCCAACTGTGATTTCTGACTCTTTAGCAGATGTACTGGGTTCTATTTGGTTTCTCCCTCTCTGCACTTTAAAAGTTGTTTCTAAGCAGTAAACTAAAGATTACTTCGATGTTATTCTTCTTTCAAGGATTGCAGTTCTCTCCTGCTTTTTGTTCAATATCAGGAAACAGCTGTTAGAAGCACCCTGTTTTTTATTTTTATACACAGAGAAATTTTTTCTCCAGTTTTACACAAACTAGGTCAGAACAAAAGTCATTCTCACCTTTGTAGATTTTTCTAATGGTTGGTCATACTGTGCTTGCTGCATAACGTCACTGACTATCATTTTAGCAATCTTCCAGGCTAGCTCTTCTTGGGCCTAAAGGAAGTAATTCAAACTGTTAATAATGGTTATTCATTAGAAGGGTACAGATGCATATAATCTGAGCTCTAAACACAAATGTATATATTTATCATTTGGATAAGAAGTACTTTCCATGTATAAAAGAATCTAGGCCACCCTCTGACTGTGATATATTAATATGTCACTTACTGTTTCCCAGGATCAACTACTAGGGTCTACTAGTAGCAGTAACGATTACTTTCATGTTAAATGGTCAAAACAATATAATACTTTTCTTTTTCCACTCCCACGTCTCAATAAAATTAATTATCCAAAAAGCAAGCCCCCACTTCTAAAAGTAAAACTGAGAGTGGGGAAGGAAGCATTTGAGCTTTTATTTCTGCACTGTTGGCTGATGCCTGCTGGTTGATGGAAAGTTGAATGTATAGTCTCTGAAGATGTATTTGCTGTAATCACCAGGTAAATTGTTAGATACTAAGAGCCCTCCTTTTCTTGTTACAACTGGATAAGGAAGCATTGATTTGTCTTGGGGATTAAACATGGAAACTAAAGAAAAGAGAAAACCTAAAACCTTAATAGCACTTATAAGCAAAGCTGGCACTCAAAGCAATAATCTCCTTATACTAAAAATAGCACTTACCTCATCAGTATTTCCTTGTACCCACTTCTTCATAGCTTGTGAGAACATGGATCCTAGTAAAAAGACCAACATTGAACACAGATTTCATAGACAATTTCATATTTTAAAAAATGCTCTTAAAAGGTATTACTTTTAGATATGGATATTCTTTTCTAGTGTTAGCCAATCCAAAACAGAAATGGTATACATATAGGGGATATTTCTTCTTAAATAAAGCAAATACTGTCCATAATCTTACCATCCCAATCATCTCTAAGGAATCATTATTAGTGTTACTTTCTTTTCTTGGTAGTAGTGGTGGTGCTGCTGGGAATCTAACCCAGGGCCACATGCATGCTAGGCAAGGGTTCTACCACTGAAATCCTAATGAAATTTTTGAAGATGAGTTAATTCAATCAACAAATGTTTACTGAATATCTACCAAGTGCTGGGAATATAGTAATTTTACAACTGGGGAACAGAATACTGAGTATGACAGATAAAATCCTTACTCTTACAGAGATAGTATTCTAGCTATAAAAGCATAACAGAAGCTAGGTGTGATAGCACATGCCTCTAATCCCAGCACTCAGGAGGGTGAGGCAGGAGGGATCACAGCAAGTTCAAGTCCTGCCTCGGCTACATAGAGAGTTCAAGGCCAGCCTGGGCTACAATGCAAAACTCTGTCTCAAAAAACCAAAAAAAAGTAATAAATTATAAATAAATATGCAAATAAACGAATAATTTTAGACCCTGTGGACTCAAAAGGCCTCTCTGAAAAGGTAATACTGGAATGTAGAGGTGGCACCAGACATTGCAGGAAAGCCATGATAGGGGAAAAGCAAGTGTAGGGGCCCTAATTGGGAAGAAAACTCAGAAGATGAATAAAGGATAGTCCATAGACTTTAATTTGTGATAGGAACAGTAGCTCAAGATAAGGTTGCAGAGGGCATTTACAGGTCACAGCAAAGAGGATAGATTTTTATTTCAAGTACAACAGGAAGTCATATGAGAAAGGGATGAGGTGGATGATAAAGCAGTAAAGTACGCAAAAGGTAAGAAAATTTAAAAAGTAGAGGGATGAGTATAATGAAAAGTAAAAGATACCTACTACCTCTTCTGATTCCTAAAGTAATCACTGTTAAACTTTGCATATCTTTTTAGATGACTTTTAATGCATATACCAAGAGTGAGTCTTTCAAAAACATATACAACAGCACTTATGTATAACTTAAATTATTAAGACTTTAGGTATAACTTCCAACTTATAAGAATTTCTGGGGAAAGAGAAATAAGCTAAGGGCCGGGGATATAGCTCATCAGCACAGCTCCTGCCTGGCAAGCCTGAGGTCCAGAGTCTGATTCCCAGTACCAAAAAAAAAAAGAAATAAGTTAAATAATGCAATGAGGAAATTCCGTAAGACTGAATAATTCCGTAAGACTGAACAATTCTGTAGGGTAAATAGTCCTTTGTGTTTAACAAGTCAAGATCAGAGTAAAACAGATGGAAACTATATCCTCTTGTTTATATCTTCAGCACAGTTCCTGGCATGCAGAAATCATTTACATGCCTTCTGAGCAAAAGATACTTGACTTAGAGATCTGGAAAACTGCAGGAAGCTCCACGTTAAATGGATGTGTTCAAACTGCAAAAATTCCGATTCATCATTTTACATAGCCATGTCTCAAAGAAATCAAATAATGGAAGTAACCTGATGGATGGGTTTGGCAATATAGATATAATCTTCTTCCTTCTACCTTCAAATATAATCCATCTCTGTTTTCCAACTACTAGCTTAATCCAAAACCAACATTATCCCTTAGACTCTTGACAAGAATGTTCTGCGTCTCTATTCTCTTAAACCCTTACATTCTGTTTCCAAACAGCTGCCAGATCAATCCCTTTAAACACACAAGTTCTATCACATTGTTCCCTGCTAATATGTCCCCAATACTTTCCAGTCCATACCATGGTCTTTTATTCACCTTTCTCCCACTCCACTCCAGCCACAATGGTCTTGTCCACTGAGCCTGCTTTACTCTCTAGCTCAGGGGTCTATTCTTGTTCCTCTAGCCAAGGACATTATTCTTCTAAATACTGACTGAACTTTCTCCCTAGTTATGTTCAGGTCTCTACTCAAAATGCTTCCTTCTCAGTGAGGGCTCTCCTGATGGTGACCTTCTAATACCACTGCCCACTGCTCTGCCAATTCCTTATTCCACCTCTTATATTCATACATAAATATATAAACACACATACATCAGCTGTGTTTAATCACAAAGAACGCAAAAAAGATTAGAAGGAGCTGGGGATGTAGCTCAGTCAGTGGTAGAGCTCTTACCTAGCATTTGCAACGCCCAGGTTTGATCCCCAGCACTGCAAAAAAGGGGGAGAGGGACACAATGGAGGGATGGACAGGAGCAGGGAGGACTGGGACAGGATGGGACCACACACACACACACAGATGGACAATGACAACAATGACACACCAAACCCACGATAGGGAGATTCGAGTCCAACAGACTTGACCAAGATGCTCTTATGCTAATTAAACAAGGATTTAAATTTCAACCTATTAATATTTTTCACATATTTCATAATAACTTTCAGTGATTTTGGTAAAATTTAATAAAGGATCACAAGATAAATCTGAAATCTAACCTGGATTGGGTATTCAGCCATTAACAAAAAGGTAAACAGTACTGTCTTATCCTACTGCACTTTCTGTTATGGTAAAGTAAGCTCAGCACAGACTTTTCATTCCGAGATTATATACAGATGAGATTACATGAAGCCCTTGTACCTGCTTGTGACTATAAACCAAGATGAAAGATATTATGGTTATAACCAATTCAAACTTTAAATGGTCTTTCCCTTTAGTCACCCTTGAGCCAAGGCTTAATATAAACTATAAACACACATAATTTCTCAGGCTTTTAGCTAAGTGAACTATAAAAACATCACAAACCTTTTGATTTCTTTACATCAGGTTCAGGTTCAGATTCTCGGATAAATTGTCCCAAGTCACTGACTCTTCCAAATGTCATCTTCCTAAATAAAGATAAAAAGAAAGATATTAATTCTAACAAAATCAATTTCTAAGTATCTCATTCTAGAAAGCTGGGCCAGGGATATAGCTCAGTGGCACAGCACCTGCCTGGCATGCGCGAGGTCCTAAGTTGGATTCCTGGTACCAAAAAATAACATAACATAACGTAACATAACATAACATAAAATAAATCTAGAGAGCCAAAAACAAAATTTACGACTATTCCATATTATTCAAAATGGAACCTATTTGAAATACAACCTTCCTCCATAGAAAGCAAAATAATCTCCAAATTTGGTGTATGATTAAAGGAGGAATTAAACGTATCTACAAATAATCTATTTGTAATTAAAAGTTAGCTTAAACAAAAAAAACTTGTGGCATCTATGTATTATTTAAGGCAAAAAGATCTTAATTTAGAGCTATTCTTTCTAATGAGTCCTCATTTCATATATGCCAACATACCAACTGTATAAATTAAACTGCCTTGAGAAAAGCTTTAAGATGTCAAAACTATAAAACTCAAATACTAAAAACTATCTTTAAAGAGGATGAAAACAAAATTATTTCTTTTCCAAGTCTTTATACATTTTAAAAAATATTTATACACAAAAAAACAACAGAAATAAATGGTTTGCAATTGACAGGCTTTCTTACATAAAGTTTTAAGGAAATAAACAATTATTAAAGAACAAACATCACCTTGGGGAATTAATTTGCACATACCATCCACAATTACTTTGTTTGCTTATTTATTTTTGCAGTACAATTTTTGCAGACTGAACCCCCGGACTTCTGACTGACCTACATCCTCAATCCTTTATATTTATTTTTTATTCTGAGATCGGGTCTCACTAAGTTGCTAAAATGCCCAAGATAAGCCAAATTTGCAATCCTTCTGCCTCAGCCTCCCAAAGCACTAGAATCACAGATGTATGCCACCACACTCATTTTCTAAAAGATTAAAGATCAGTACAAAGTTGACACAGCTGAAGTGGATTTTCCAAAGACAACATGGTTAAACAATCTTTTATTTTCTTCAAAGCTCTCCCTAGACTCCTCAGTCTCCCAAATATCATTGTTATTTTTTGATAAAAGCAATCAAATATACTGCAAACCTCTTTCATGGTACTGCTGAGATTTGGGCAGGGCACTGGGTGGGGTAATTAAATCTACATATATTTACATGGTAAGTCTTCCGTGGGGAAAAAAAGGAATTTATAATTTGTCTGTAGTAATTGTCAGTAAGTGACATATCCTATGTGTCACTGTCTTTCTGTTTCAGGCTAAAAGGAACAACCAATTTAATTCTGAACTACAAAGGAATAATTTCATTCCTTTCCCAAGTATTAGTACGTAGCCCACAATAAATGTTGGCATCTTTATAATTATTTTAAGATCAAGACTTTGAAAATGCTAACACGTAAATCAAATGAAATGTGCAAGAGATCACCTGGAATATACTATACATATGCATGACACTCATCAACCTGGCATATGGTGTAGAAAATGATAGTTTGTCTATGGCCATACCACCCTGAACGCGCCTGATCTCGTCAGAATGATAGTTTATGGAGTGCTCTCCATGTACTGACTTATTTAATTCCCTCAATCACCCAATGCATTATTTTGATTTCATAGATGACAACACAGACAAAAGGAGGTTAAGCAGTTTGCCAATAAGGAGCAGAGCCAAACTCAAGAAGCGGTTCCACAGCCTTCACTTTAATACCATATAACATGCACATTGTATGTGAAAGTGGTGGGCATATTAAGAAATGAGAAAACAACTGAAATTTATTAAAAATTTTTAAAGCTGCTAAATTCTTTACATGTGTAAAAATTCTAAATATGAGCTAAGCTTACCCTGCATATGTCCGTTGATATAAAGATTCTGGATCCAGACTTGCAGTATCCACAATTATTGCTTCATCAAAATTTTTCAAAATTTTAATACTGGCTTTTTTCACACTGGACTATAATAGAAATTTCAAAATTAGTAGTACATTATTCTGAAAACAAATCAGTCCTGGGTCTGGAATATGAGATTTATACTTATTTTCTTCAGTATTTGAGATATGCATAATTTTCAGCCAAGACTTTCACTGCTGAGAAGGTTAACAGCAATGAAATGTTTCTCTCTTTTTTATCTTTTGAGAGAGGGTCAGGCTTGCCTTGAACTTGCAGAGATCCTCCTGCCTTAGCCTCCAAAGTGCTTGCTGGGATTACAGGTGTGCACCACCACATCTGGCATGAAATATACCTTCAAACTACAACTACAGGGGAAAAGCACAAGCATATAAAATATGTAACCATGAATTTATATGCCAAAGCTGTTTTCTTAATGATCTAAGTTCTAACATACGTGTGACAGCCCAAACTGGCCAAACTCATCTATCCTAGCATATATATCTTGGCTAACAAAAATAAAGCCCAATTTTTACAGTTTCACTAAGAATTTTTTGGATTCTCAAGTGAGGATCTGTGACAACAGAGAAGCTAAACAGCCCTCTGTGAAGTGACCTGCTAGCTAAGTACAAGTCACTAAGTCCCCCTCTACCATTCTACCTCCTACTCCCCACCCTACAAAACAATCAAATCAGAATTACTATTTTTATAAAATATAGAGCTAAGACTTGAATTCTACTTCTAGAAATTCAACTACAGATTCATATTTATGTAAAACATGACATATATACAATATTATTCATTGCAGTACTGTTTAAAATAGCAAAAGGAGGAGCCTAATGTCTGTTAACTGAGGGATACAGTAAATAAACAAAATAATTGAGCATTTATAGAACACTTTATTTAAACTCAAAAGAAAGCATCAACAGAATAAATAGGGAGTATATCCCAATTAATTGTAGGAGGTCATGATTACTCAGGCACCAAAACCAGACAACAGAAGAAAACAAAGCTAGTATCTCTTATGTAGTATAAGTATTATATGATAGGTACAGATATAAAATCCTCAACAAAACTCAATCTGGTAGCATGACAAACTATGGGCAAGTGGAATCTGTCCTAAGAGCACAAGGTTGGCTTAATATCTGAAACCAATTAATGTAATACATCGTAACAATAGAGTAAAACCCAAAAAACCTATATGATCATCTCAACTGATACATAAAAAACATGTGATAAAATCCAATACCCTTTTGTGATTAAAAATTAAGACTGGTGGGGCACTTCCTCACCCAAATAAACATTTATAAAAACTTTAAAATTAAAAAGAAAATCTTACCTAACAAGTTAATGGTGAAAAACTGAAAGTTTTCCTTGTCAGATCAGGAATAAGACAAACATGCCTGTCTTTTGCCATTTTTACTCTACATTATCCTGTACTAGAAGGTCTACTGAGAGCAATTAGGTAAGAAAAGGAATTAAATGCCTCCAAAGTGCACAGGGGGAAAAAAACTATTTGCAGATAACATTATCTTACATAGAAAACTGTAAAGAATCCCTAAGACAACTATTATAGCTAACAAATGTAGCAAAATTGAAAGTATAAAATCAATACACATCCTACAACAACCATTGAGAATACTCAATGATTATTCAATTGGTCAACCATGTTTAGCTCTATTTATTTTCTTTAGAAACCACTTTGTAGATACCAAAGTATAGTATAACAACCATTGATAATCTCCTACCTCTTTTGTCTGTAACTCACTATTATTTCTCTATTTGTTTTTCTGAGAAACTATCTTGAAGATAACAATATGTATGTAAAACAACCACCACTGATAATTTCCTACTACTTTGTCTGTAATTCGGTAAGTCCCCCACTACTATGTTATCCTTCTTTTACTCTTTAAAATAATAATAATAAAAATAATAAAATCAATACACAAAAATCATTGTATTTCAGTATCTTAGCAAAAATCCAAGAATGAAATTCAAAAAACTCCATTTATAATCACATCAAAAAGGAAAACAGCTGTGCACAGTGGCACACGCCTGTAATCCCAGTATTAAGGGAGATTGAAGCAGGAGGATCAAAAATTCGAGTCCTACATGGGCAAATAAGCAACACATGGTCTCAAAAATTAAAAGAAGCTGGTAGGAATGTAGTTCAGTGGTACAGTGCTCCTGGATATGATCCTCAGCATTCAAGTAAGATAGACAGACAGACAGACAGAGACAGACAGGCAGACAGAGACAGACAGGCAGACAGAGACAGACAGGCAGATTGACCAACCAAATGAATGAATAACACTTGCCTTAGCATGCATGAGACCCTGGGTTTACTCCCCAGTACTGCCAAAAAAGAAACTTAAAAATGAATGATCCAAGGTGGGATGAGACATATACTGAAAACTATGATGAAAGAAATTCAAAAACATGCCAGGCATGGTGGTGCAGGCCTGTAATCCCAGCCCTTAGGAGACTGAGCCAGGAGGATTGCTGTGAGTTTGAGGCCAGCCTGAACTACAATAGTGAAACCCTGTCTCAAAAAAAAAAAAAAAAGAAATTAAGTGACAACATACCTTTTGTTCATGAACTAGAAATTTTAATAGTGCTTAAAAATAGCGGTAGCTCCAAGGCAATCTATACATTCCTTGAATTCCTGATCAAAATGGAAAAGCTGATCCTAAAGTTGATATGTAATATAAGAAACTCAGAAGAGACAAAATATTGAACATAAAAAAAAAACCAAAGTGTACACACACTTTGTGATTTCAAAATTTACTACAAAGCTATTGTACTCAAAACAAGGTGGTATTAGCATAGAGACACATAGAATAATGGAACAGAACTGAGTGTTGAGAAATAAACACATACAAACATATATAATGGCCAGGTGTGGTGCCACACGCCTATAATCCCAGCACTCAGGAAGCTGAGGCAGGAGGATCACTGCAAGTTCGAGACCAGCCTGGGCTACAAAGTGAGCTCAAGGCCAGTCTGAATTGCATAGCGAGACCCTGTCTCAAAACGACCAAAAACAACAAAAACAAAAAAACCAACACGGTCAGCTGGTTTTTAACAAGGTTACCAAGATCTTGGTGTAAGAGTAGTTCTTTCGGCTTTTTTGTGGAGGTCCTATAGATTGAACCCAGAACCTTTGCACTAAACTACATACCCAGCTTGATTTTTAATTTTTTTTAAAGATGACATCTTGCTAACTTGCCCAGGGTAGGCTTAAACCTGCCTCCTGCCTCAGTTTCCTGGAGTGTCAGGATTGAAAAGTATACACCACCATGCTCAACTGTCAGAATAGATTTTAAAATAAATATTGCTAGAACAAGATACCCATACAAAAAAGAATGAAACTGGATCTCTAACTTACACCATATGCAAAACTAACTTAAATGGATAAAAGACCTGAAGCTCTTAGAGGAAAACATAGAAATTTGTAAATCTTCATTATATTAGATTTTGCAATGGTTCTTAGACCTAAAACCCAAAGCACATGAAATTTAAAAAAAAAAAAAAAAAATACTGTACATAAACTGGACTTCCCCAAAATGTAAAATCCTGAGCTTCAGAAGATACAAGAGGGCTGGGGATATAGCTCAGTGGCATAAGTGCTTGCCTGGCAAGCCTGAGGTCATGAGTTCGATTCCTGGTACAAAAGAAAAAAAAAAAAAAAAAAAGACACAAGAAAGTGAAAGGATAACCTACAGAACTGGAGAAAGTAATTGTAAATCCTATCTGATAGGAGATTTGTATCTAGGATATATAAAAATTCCTAAAACTTGTAATACAAACATAACCCAATTTAAAAGTAGACAAAAGATTCTAATAAACTTTCTCCAAAAGATTCTAATAAACTTTCTCCAAAGAAAAAAGGTCAGTAAACACACAGAGATGCTCAACCTTTAGTCATCAGGAAAATGCAAATAAAAACCACGAAGAGCTACAACTTTGTACCTACTAATATGACTATGAACAAAAAATAAATACAAGAAATTTCAGTGAGATGTGGAGAAACTAAAAACCTTGTACACTGCAGGTGGGATTGCAAAATGGTGCTGCCCACTTGGGGAACGATCTAGCAATTCTTGAAAAGAGACTGCATATTATGTTTCCATTTGTATGTGTCCAAAACAGGCAAGTCTGTATCTCTATAGAGACAAAAGTTGATTAATGATTGCCTAAGGCTGGAGAAATAGGGGATTTGGAGGATGAAAAAAATGTTTTAAAATTGATTATGGTAATGCATATACAACTTTGGAGTATAGTAAAAACCACTGAATTATACAATGCAAATGTGAATTATCGCAACAAAGTTATGCAATACAAAATACACAGCATGATTTCATCTATAAAATGACAAGAGTTAATGCTACTCTATGCTCTCAAGTCAAGATACGACTAGGAGGTTCAAAAGGGCTTCTGGCTGATAATGTTCTATGTTTTGATTTAGATGCAAGGATTTTTTTTCTTGATTTTAGATGTGTGTTTGTGAAAATTCTTCAAGATATATACTCATTATTTGTGATTTTTTTAAATATGTTATTAACAAAATAAATTTTATGGGGCGTGGGTGTACAGCTCAGTAGTAAAGCTAGCATGTGCAAAGCCCTGGGTTCTATTCCCATTACTAAAAACAAACACATATGTATACACAAACATACATATACATTTATTTTATGGTTAGCACCTAGACCTTTCAAATGTCTAAATAAAAATAAGCCATTCTGGGGTGGGGATTCGGCTCAGTGGTGCAGTGCTTGCCTTGCAAGCGTGAGGTCCTGAGTTCAATTCCTGGTACCTTGGAAATAAAGAAAGATAGACAGGTTTACTTACTTCTTTATTTATTTATTTAGAGATAAGCCATTCTAACTTATCTCAAAAAATTAAAGTGATAACCATACTCAGCAGATCATGAGTAAACTTGATAGTGGGAAAATATACTCAGGAAAGCATTGTCCACAACAATAAAATAATATTATCTTATAAATTAAGAAATCTTGGGCTGGGGATATATCTGAGTGGCATAGCACTCTCCTGGTAAG